TAATAATTGGCCCCCTAGTGGCCAATCTAAAAAACTACAACAGAAATGACAAGCCACCCTCTGATTAATGAAATAAGTTAGTATCGGTTCATGGTATCAGTTAACTTTTACGAGTATGAGTACACACACATTTTACAGTATCGGCCCTGATACCCGATTCCAGTATCGGCATCGGTGCATCCCTAATCAAGACACTTCTCTGATTAGTGTTATTGGAGTTGGGTCTCTACTTACAATTCAGAGACCAAACATCAGTTTAAATAAAAGACAGTATAGTATCTGAGGGAAATGTCGTTTGTTGTTTGAACAAGACGTTTGGTCAGAAAACAGTCACTTTATCTAAGAAATTTAGTGTAACATCTGAGGAAGAACATACAGCACATACAGAACACCTGGGAAGTATTCACAGCGCTTCATTTAGTCCACATTTTTCATGTTAGGTCACTTCAAAATTTTAGACACAATCTTGTGCTCAGAGTTTGTTCCTGTGCTGCCGCGGTTAGTGCCCGTGCTATGTGTGCTGTCTTTCAGTCCATCTTTGGTAAGATCTCTCGATGTCAGTCGCTTCTGTCAGTGGTCATACTATCCTTCCATGATGGTTCCTCTCCTTGTTCCTCTTCTTTCTTGGGTTTCTGCTGCTTGAGGTATTCACTAAGCACATGTCAGTTGTTTCCATCTTCCCGATGTACTTATGGATGTTCGTTGTTTCATCGGTGGTTGGCCTCCTTCCTTTCGCTTTGCATACATTGCCGTCTATCTCCTTCTTTGGCCAGCTTATTATCCCAGCAGGGTATCTAATCACCGGCAGGGCATAGGTGTTGATTGCCCAGATCTTGTTTTTCCCATTCAGCTGCTCTTCAGGACTTGGCTGACCCTTTGCAGGTATTTGGTGGTTGCAGCCATCTCCCTTATATATATAAAGAGGATCCCAGATACCAACTACAGATCCCATTCTGTAGTTGGTATCTGTAGCCATTCTATTTGAATGAGTGGATTCAGACTTATGCAGAACAGAAGTGGGGAAAAAGCATCTCTTTTGGTAAATCCCACACTTGATGGCAACTTGTGCAATTGGCTTTAAGTCTGGTCTTTGTTGCGCCCTCCTTCCTTGTGCTCTATCTCCATCTCCAGCATTCCCTCTGTGTGGCCTCTAGTCTCCTTCTCCATGGAGGATACTGCTTCTTGTGGCTGTTCATCTTGTAGCCAAGCATCTGGATGAATCTTGCCATGATGTTGCCAATTCATCACTCACAGGAGATCATATCATTGTTAGGGTTTTCTCAGTTTTCTTTGTGTTATTGCCAGCAGGCAATCGACCCAAGGCTCAGCTACCTCCATGGCTCTCACTTCATTGGAGATGTCACAACATTTGATAAGTACCATCTTCAGCTGCACACAACACAGGGTCAGAGGGTCGAGGCTACCATAAATGCTGATGTATCAAGCTGCCCGTGAGACTCTGTTCATATCCACACCTGCTGCGCTTCTCTCTTGGTCGCTCAGGTCGTAGCCACCTTGCCCCTGAGTCGTGTGGCCTCCGCTGTCGTGTAGCCCCATCCCAAAGGCCAATCTTCCACTGCCATCTGGCTTCTCCTGAACCACTGGCAATGTTCTTCTGGTGAGAGGCCTGCCCAGTCCAAGACATCCCTGGAGGTATCTGCAAAGCTCCCCTGACTAGCGGTAGGCTCAGAGCCCCCGTCTGAGCCTCCCCCAAAAGCAGCAGCCCCCAGCACCCACTCCACCGCAGGAACGTCTGTCACGCTGAACTGAAATATGGGTCACTGGTTTCTTGATCCTCCTAAAGTCCACAGTCATTTCCTTGTTCTTTGTTACTGCAAGTGATTCCACTCACTCCACATGACAAAGGAGTCCACCACAGGTTGGTGCTCCATCTCACCAAACCCACTGATGCATCCATCCACCACATCAGAAAACCTTTGTAGATGGCAGGTCTCTGTACAGTGGCTGAAGTCCAAGGTGTAGAGCAGGGGTCTCGAACGCCAGTCCTCGAGGGCCGGTGTCCTGCAGGTTTTAGATGTGTCCTTGATCCAACACAGCTGATTTAAATGGCTAAAT